CTGACTCTTCGCCTCCTCCACACGACCATTCTTTCTCTCTACCTGGTCTCTTCCTGGGCTCTCCCTCGGACATAGAACTACTTTTCCTTTCAAGCCCTTGACTCGGAGAGATACCCGACCATGCCCATCACGAATCCCTGCATTTCGTCGCGCGTCCACCGTCTCTCTCTCTTGGGTTCTTTTTCTTCTGTCTTTTTTTTCTCTCGTCACCTTCTGCGGCCGTCGCATCTCACTTATCCCCGCGAACGCGTGGGATAAATAGTCGCGTCCAGCCGTGGCTATTGCCGCTCGATCACTGAACGAGCCGCGGCGTGCCGCGCGCGGAGCAGAGAGAAGGACCAAGCGGAGGAAGAATGAAAGAAGGGAACTCGCGCGCCGTGACCTCTCCGCCGCGTGACGCTTGAGCCACCGCTCCGCGGAGAGGAGCGGCGCAGTCTGCGTGGAGCGTGCTGCCTAGGCGAGCGAGGGTGAGAACGGCCGAAAGACACCGGGGAAACAGAAATACAGAAAGAGAGAGAGAGAGAGAGAGAGAGAGAGAGAAAGAGACGACGTTAGTGGTAGCGATGGTAGCGAGTGAATAAAAGAGGAAGAGGAAGAGATAGCGGGCTGTGGAGCAGACATGGAAGAAACCGAAGAGAGAAGGCGGGCCTGGAGCGTGTAGCGATGCTTCTCCGAGCGTGATCAACGCGGACAACGCGTTGACGTTAGGACCGACAACAACAACAACAACGACGACGACGATAACAACGAGAACAGAACTACCGATAAAGAAGCTGAAAAAGAAGAAAAGAATAATGAAAAGGAGAAAAAGACGAGGAAGAGATGTGTGTTGAAGAAGAAGATGAAGAAACTGGCAAACAAGAAGGCGAGGAGGGCCCGATGATAGAGACACGGCGGTCCGTGTGGCGGTGGAACGAGCGTGAAGGAACATGCAGAGGAAGAGACTGAAGGAAGGCTGTGCAGAAAGCGGTTGGTGGGTAGGGGAGCGGGTCGGTGGGACGAACGAGAGGGGGAGCAGGGGGAGTCGAGTCGAGATGATGCAGTTGTGCGTTTGCAAGGAAGGCGGAAGGAGGAACCGCGGAGGGAACCGGTCCCGGTCACTGGGCCACCAGCCGGCCGTCGAACCCGCCACACTGCCCCCTACCACCCTCTACCCCTCCTCCTTTTCCTCTCCTTGTCTCTGTCCCTTCCTCCTCTTCGTCCCATGTTTCGCTCCAGTCATCTCTGTCTCGCTTTCTTCGGCCTCCCTGCGCACAAATGCCTCCCCCGTTCCTCTCTGTCGCCCTGACTTCCTCCTCCTCCCCCTTCGGAAAGCTTCCCTCCATTGCGAAACCTTCCTCGACATTCGCGACTCTTCGCGATGACAACGAAGACGACGACGACGACGACAACAACAACGACAACGACGACGACGACCATGACGACCACGACTCTACTCCGATGCCTTGGCGTTCCTCAAACAGTGTCAACCGGCATGCAGCGGTTGTGTGCGCCGATAATGCCACCGGTGCCACCATGTTTACCGGCCCGAGGCTATATGCTAGCCGGAGGAGCCGTCTTTCCGCCGTGACCGACGTTTTCGCGTGTCTCCTCGTCCCTCGCGGCGGCGCGAATCCGCTCGAGACCGATCGCACGCTTCAACGGTGAGAATGAACACGGATCGGATGGACGAAGCGTTGATCCTGTCTCCGGATGAGCTTGCTCTTCGCGTCACCTCGCTCGTGCATTGTCAATGATTATTATTATCTTGTTAATTTGGACTCAGTGGACTTTGATTCAGCCGGTCATGTATCGTTCGTTCCTGTAAAAATTCAATAAATAACCGAAAATCCTTCGATTCGCTCGAACTGGCTAAATTTACTAATTGTAAATAAGTTTACTTTTCCATTCTTTCTACGAGTTCATGAGAAATTAATAAAAACATGGAAAGACACCGAGAGGTACCAATCGCGAATGGATGCGCGACAACCTGGGGATAATCTGTTGATCCGGCCGAGAGAAGGGAAACGCGTCGTGGTGCACGCGTGTGCAAACACCGGCCGATATATCGAGGCGGTGAAAAGGAACGGAGACACGAGTACTCAGGCGAGCACGGTCGTTCGCGTGGAAAGAATGGAAGAATTAGTTTTGGATCGGGCTTTCGATCGTGAGAGAGCAGGCGAGCAGGTAGCGCAAACGGAAGCTTGACTCGTACACGGTAATCTCGCCGAGATACGCCAAACATTTTCTCTTAATTAAGAAAGGACGTGGCCGTAATTAAGTTTCCCTTCCACGTTATTCTCCTGCTCGTTCGTTTCAGACCGTGCCGCGTGTTACGCCGGTCGCGCCGTCAAAACAGAGTGTTCAGTGGCTTCGAACGACAACTTTCCTAGCTTTCAATTAGTCACGTTGATTCGTCAAACTCGCACCTGTGAAGCTCCGTTCGTCGATTCGACGAGAAAACGGCGTGTATTCGCTCGAATATAATTATCGCCTAGGTCGCGCGAGTTGCACGAACTTGCCAGGCAATTCCGGCCAGTTCCACGAAAAGTTTACGATTTCTATCGCGAACGTCACGTGTTTTCAAGCTTCCTCAAAGATAACGCTTAATTCAGCAATCAAACCAGACGGGTATTACCGTTTCGTTTCGTCGATACACGGTCTTGTACTTCTTGCCCGTTTTATCAGCACTGGCCGATCAACTTCTCGATAAGAGAGAGACTCACTCGAACAATGCCGGCACGCGTTATCGCGACTGTCTAGCGTTTCCACGCGTGAGCATGATGCGCTCTGTCACAAGGTGGTAATCGACAGTCTGGAAAGTTCGATGATTCCTGTCTGGTTCGTGCCCGCCCAGATTGCATTCCGTAGATAGGACATATAGGCGACAGCCAACGGGAACGATTATCGGCACATGTCGCGAGCAACGTGCGCGGTTTCCGATTTTTCGAATGGATTCCGTTTGAGAATCGTTCGACTGTGACAGAATCATCGCCATCTATTTTTTTGACGTAAATGCGAAATAGGAGTTGCGAGATTGTTTTCTATTGGATGAATTACGGGAAAGATACGTAGTCAATGGTAGTCTATGATTCGGAGCGTTGCTTTACTTCTATACGTTACAGATTTCTGTAATTCTCGGAGAATTCTTATCATACCAATCGCTGGTAACAGATGGTTACTTTACCTACGGTTGGTATCCAACATCGATCGCGGGTAAAAAAGCTTAGCCAACTGTCGGCACATTATCGACCTTCGATCTCTGCGTACTTGAAAATTTCTTTCTTACCTACCGCAAGCAACACATCTCGCACGTCTTTTCTAAAATACGTTTATTTGAAACGTCCACAAAAAAAATATCTACTTGCGAGTACAAAAGAACGCTGCGTACAACTCTGTAAAACTCGATTACAAAAACAGTCGATTTCAATTGACACACTTCGGAAGGTTCGGCCTGCAGACGGGTTCGACGATGGTCACGTTTTCTCCGCACGGTGGACAGGGAGCACAAGAAGTAGGTGGGCAAGCAGGAGAACAACACGGATCACGCGGTTGAGTAGACGGAGGGCAAGAGGAGCAGCTAGGCGGTGGGCAGATCTCGACGTCGCACGGAGCACGACACGGTGGATGGCACGGTTGACAGGGTTGAAGGCAGACGGGTTTGCAGTCCATCTCGCAGACGTATTGCATCTCAAAGGGCAGATCGTTTCGCACGGTGAGGCACTTTCCTTGGATTAGATAGCAGTAGGCCAGGGCGAGCACGGGGTTACCGCTGTAGGGTAGGTTGTGAGGATCGGGCAAATGTGCGAATATGTCGATGTGCGTGTATTTTAAGGGGGAACAGCTACAGGCTCCGTGCTGCAATCGATACGAAGGGGATGAGAAAGGGTGGCCGAACGAGGCGGGCCGAATAGAGGTAGGCCAGCAGCTAAATGAAGCTTTAAACGTCATTGTAATGGAAAAGCTTTTTAATCTGCCATTAATAGCGGCACGCGGTACTTATGTTAAGCTGATCGCCCATAAAAAACTCATCCCTTTATTCTAAAGAGAAAAGAGCGCGAAAGAGCTGTGTATGCAGCTGTGCTGGCTGCAACGAATATCGGTTTAAAAACGCTGTAAACAGCGTTGAAATACGTGATTACGATAATACTTTTGATAATTCTACTTAAATATTGGAGCATTGCGCGAGAAAATGAAATTGGACGAAAGTGGTTGCATCTGGGGAGTCTCTGTCAAAAGAGAACGAGCAGGTTCATGAGAGCTAATTGTACGAATAAGAATAAATCGTATCATCGACGAGCCGATTGAACTGGGAACCTGAAAAATTAAATTCAAATTAAAATTTCGTCTGTCTCGCTTCCTTCTGAAGAAGACACCACGAAAGAGGAATTGTTTGGCCAGTGTCAACATTGGCAGATCGAGGAAACATCTGCCGTCTTCTCCGATCAAGCACCGTGCTAAAAGTTGCGAATCTTTTATCTCTGAGAAACGAGATAAATCTTGATTGATTGGAAAATATACTTGACCTTGTCCAAGCCAGAAGCCATAATTAAAAATGCGGACGGATTTTGGTGCCCTCTGTTCGCCATTTTACTGCCCTCAGGCGGTGCTTGGTAAATGTCGTCACCTTCCGTTCGACCTTCGTGGAAGTAGAAATCCTCTCTTCGTATTCTCGATATCTCGAACGGATCGCCCATTGTCTCCCCGGAAGCCTGAAGCTTCTCGGCATTGCTGACTAAACGCGCCACTGCGTTGTCCATGGCGATCTGCCGTGAAATAACGTAATAATTCATTGTAATAAAAAAAAACCGAAAAGAAAGAAAGGAAAAAATGTAACAATTCATTTCGTGACAAAAAAATTTTCGAGATCGCCAATTTTAGAAAGACTCACCGAGTATCCACGACCGACGGCGAGTATCGCGTGAGCAGTCAACGTCGCAACGGTGAAGAGATGCGGATTAACCGAACACAGGGCCATTTTTTTCATGTGGTAGAGGGCATCGGCCATGAGCAGGTGTCCATCTTCGTCCGTATTCGTGACACGTACCCTGGCGCCGGATTTCGCGGTGATCACCTCGTCAGTGACGTAAGAATTCTCACCGATGCTGTTCCGTACCATGCACAGAGCCGCGACAGCCTTCACCGTCGGTGGTTGCAGTAGATTCACCACCTGTCGCCGTCCAATACTTTCTTCGACCATTCCCAAAACCTTTTGCCGATCGATCGGATCGCGCGTCCTTTTTTTTTTCTGTTTTAATCTCCGTTAGTCTCGATTAAGCATTAGCGCGAATTACACGGTGCAATCGTATCACTGATTATCCCGATCGCGAAAGCGTGCTCAGCTCATAATCACAGCGACCAAATTGCCTGGTTAATCGTCGTAAAATGAAACGCTCAACGTTAAATCCCTCGTATAGATCGCGCCCGACACTATCTACAATTTCGCCAGCCGTCAACGGCAAATCCGATAACAACCTTCGAGCGTCGAATTGGGGGGAGGGGGGGAGATCGCAGCGAAGTGAAACGAAAGGGCAAAGAAAGGGCTTTTTTTTTGCACGCGCGTTATCGAACGTTCCGCTTGCAATTGATATCGGCGCATCGTACGCCAAGTTGCGACGTACCTGCATGAATCCGGCGCACGCCGCTGCCCCGCATTTGTCCCTCGACATACCGAACATCGTGCCTTCGACCTTGAGGTCGGTGCCGCCAGTGTCGTAAGTCACGCCCTTTCCCACGAGCATGACCGTCTCGAGGATGCAGGCGGGATTAGGCGGCTCGTAGGTCAGAAAGATAATCCTGCCCGCGTGCCGAGGGATCATCGAGGCAGCGCGGTTCACGCACGCGAACAAGGGATACTCTTGAAGCAGGGTCTCCTGGTCGGACACCACCTGCATCGTCACGTTCGTCCCGCAGAACAACTCGGCCAGGTACTCTTCGACCCTGGGTGGTGCCATTCTTTCGGGATCTGCGCCGCCTGCGAAGGAAGTGGCATCGAAATCGGTGTGAGTGTTTTAATCGGAAATGAGCGCAGGATTCACAGTAAGTGTTTAATAAGAACGTTGGACGCCATTTCTCTGAGAAAGAATATTTTTTTACACGGATCGAAAGTACATCTAAAATACTATTACGCTCTCAATTAATAGCATGTCATCAATCTTCACTTTCCATTAATTTTTCAGCATACGTGTCCTATGCTTCATAATTGACCAAACATTTCGAAAGTCTGTCAAACCAGGAGCCTATCTTTAATAATTGAGACATTCGGATGATGATCAAATTGTACGAAAGAAGACTTTTAATGTCTGTTCATTAAACATTGGTTTAATGAAGAAAACCAGTTTTTCATACTTCAAACATGGAAGCTGTGTAGAAAAGGGAAAATGATATCAGCGTGTTGGATGCCAAATCAATTGAAAATGTTTGGTCAATAAATCATAGATTGCGAGGTATACGTGTCTCAACCACGAAAATCCTAAGTTGTCGAATTCCAAAAATATGGAGCTCTTTATTTGTTTCTTATACTGAAAAATTGAAAATGTGTCTCGTCGCGTCCAAGCAATAATCGCTAGTGGTGGAGACTGAACACACTGTTAATCAAGTGCTAATAATAGTATTTTAGGTGTACTTTCGATCCGTATAAAAAAGTTTTTTGGATGAAAAAAAATATTTTTCTCAGAGAAATGGCATTCACGTTCTCGTGGTACACGCTGTAATTGTTTAACGAATTAGGACAAAGTTGCTTTGGATGGTAATTTTTTTGTTTTGAGTTCTGTCCACTCTGTCATGGAGTACTTGTGAGAGTGAATTGTTGTTGGTAGAGTGCAGGAGCGAGTTAACGACACGGTGAAAACTACCAACGTGCTTCCTTACGAGTTGGGCAAACACGAGTGCGAAGTTGAATTATGGTTACTGGGAGTATTGTCTCTCAACTTTCTCGAGATTCACGCGGTCAGTCATTTATTGCGTTGCTTCCTCCGAAGCTTCTACGGGGGAATTTCATTGGAAGAGGGCTGAGGAAAAGAAGATTGGTGCATTCTTCGTAATAGAAACGATGCAGCTCACTTCTACACGCTTTGGAACCCTCTCAACGACGCGAGTAGATTCTTAGCTGGGTCGTACATTCCGCTGGGATAAGAAAAATGGTGAAACGAGAGAAAGATAGAGGTATACAGAGAGATAGAGACTAACGAGCCACGAGATATCAGTTTAAATTTAAATCTGTGAGGTACCTCGTTTCCCTCTTTCACGTTGTTGCACAAAGAGTTGATATCGCGTTAAAAGTAGCATTAAAAACGCTTAATTTACGAGATAATTCGTTCGTTAAACATCATCAAAAGATACGCGCGTTCCTCTTTTTCATTCGCTGAACGAGATCTTTCCTGCCTTTCAACGCTCGTGCGTTATTATTTCAGTCGAAAGGATCAGGGTTTAACTGCGTTAACAAAGGCACGCGCGAGGGAAAGACGCAAAAGACAGGAGATTAACGGAAATTATGGGATTTGACATTTTTGTGCGACATCTTTCTTTCGTCGGGCAGGGAATTCATTCCCCCCTCCCCCCCTCCCTTGTTTTTGAATCCCATCGTTTTTCAACAGCGAGAAATTAATACGATTCCCATGGGTAGTTGGAAACGAACGGTGAGCAAACGGTTGGCGGATAGAAAAGTTCAGGGCGAATAATTAAGGGGAGAAACTGAAAACGGCGGAGTAATTGTTTCTCGGGGTATTCGGGGTAGAAATACGGCCTGGTATTTTAAACTTCGGGGCAGAGTGCATCAGCATACTCCGTGTGCCGTCGTAACGTCACGCGGAAAACGTATATACGCAACTTTTTTCCGCTTAATTAAACGCCCGAGATTCTTGGGCGAGAACGGACAAGTGGAACGGCCTGAAATTTACATTCCTCCGACCGCGAGGAACGCGGATATAAAACGTTTGGATCGCCGTGTCGACGACGCGGCGGAGGAAAAACAGCGTTCCCTCTGAAAAATGGTCCGTCCGTTCTGCGAACAACGTGTCTGGGTAAACGAGTAGACGATCAACGAAAAGATTCGTTCCATTGAAAGATCCGATTCGGAATCGGTCCCTTTAAAGCAGAGTCCCTCCGTTAATGTCTAAATATTTGAATATTAAAATGACCCCCCTCCCCCTCCCCGGGAGGGATTCCGGCTAAAAGACACGAACACGAGGATTCAGCCTCGAGCAACTACGACTACGAAACGAGTTGGCAGCCGCGAGCGATCTCTTCTTTTTCTCCCACGTCCTATTTCTTGCCCCCGTGTCCGCGAGGACGGAAGTCGGGGCCATTCTTCGGCGAAGTTCGCTCGATAAAGCAGCGGGAATCTCTCTCTCTCTCTCTCTCTCTC